TTTAAACGAAAAATCAACTTAATTCAAATGCACCCTAAAATTGTTATTTTCTCTATAGGTCATCTTAATGGTTAAACTTTATTATAACATATGTAAAGCACGCAAATAAATTTTGTGATGATCGATCACGGTTCTTACATAAAATTTTTTCACTTTAAATTTTTATACATGAAAATTACACTTACATAAATTTTCTTCATCAAAACATTATTTTTTGAAACGCATGTCCGAGTGCGTCCGGATTATTTAAACTTTTCAAATGAGCCTCTTTGTGCCCAGGTTAGACTTCATTTGGGTCCCATCAAAGAAACAGTAATTCAAACAATAATTATGATTCATAACAATAATCATAATAATAATCATGACAACACCCCAAATTAAACTTAAGTCAATGTCAAACCCAAATTGAGGTAAGAATTTGTTAAAAACATGAAATTCAACTAACTAAAACACTTCCCACCCCAACCTCCAAATTATCAAAATTTCCCCCTTTATTTATTCTTTATTCCCCCACTTTATACTAAAGCCTCCCTCATTCCAATTCATTCCTCCCTTAACCAAGCTCTCCTCTCTCCCTCCCCCACTCTCTCTCTCTCTCTCCCCTTTTTTTCTTCTTCCTCCCTTTGTTGAACTGTCTTCTTCTTCTCCCTCCTCTCCTTTCTTCCTCCTTCCTTAACCAAAAACCAATCATCCTCTTCCCCTCTCTTCACCAAGGAAAGCAAAGGGATTCTACTTCATTCAAGCATGTAAATAAAGGGCTTTAATATAAGAAAGATATACTTTCTTCCATCATTCGTTTAATTCATTAAGTTTAATGTTTTTTTTTAATGAATTCAAAAATGGTTTTGTGAAAGTAAGATGTGAATTTCCTAGTTTCACTCTTCTTCTTCTCTCTCTCCACTCCATGGTTGAAACCCTAGTCTCACTCTTCTTCTTCTCTCTCTCCACTCCATGGTTGAAACCTTAGCCTTACTCTTCTTCTCCTCTCTCTCCAATCCATGGCCAAAACCCTAGCATTTCTTTTCTTATTCTCTCTCTCCACACCATAGTCAAAACCATAACCTTACTCTTCTTCTTCTTCTCTCTCCACTTCATGGTTGAAACACTATCCTTACTCTCTTCTTACCCTTCTTCACTCCATGGCCAAAACACACACACACTCATACCTTCTTCTCCCCATGCCAAAATACACACACAACACACACACACACACAAACAAGCACGCGCGAAGAGAGAGAGAGAGAGAGAGAGAGACTTACTTTCTTCTCCCAATGCTGAAATACACACTCACACTCAATAACTTCTTCTGCTCATGGGTGAAATACTCACACACATACACACTCATACCTTCTTCTCTCCATAAATGAAATACATGCACACACATACTTTCTTCTCTTTATGGTTGAAATACACACACAAATAATCACTCGCACCTTCTTCTCCCCTTGACAAAACACACCCCCCCTCCCCTTCATCTTTTTCGTGGCCAATACACACAAACACACACCCAGACACACACAAACTCTCTCTCTCTTTCTCACTTGGTTGAGCCTTAGTATTTCCTCTCCTCTTATTTGTCACCTTCACCACCAAGCTAACCCCGTTCTTCTCGTTCTCCTTCTTTTCATTACGAAAACCCAAACCTTTTCCATATGTTTTAATTCATCAAAAGAAAAGGATTTCATAAATGTGTTATTACATAAAGTCATGTTTAGACTTATAAGTTTTTTATGATGTCTATACATGTTCTATGTGAATTAACACCCATCTTTAAGCTTTTCAGGTTTCATAGGGCATTTATACACGATCTATGTGAGTTAGCATCAATATTTATACTTTTAAATTTCACATGATTTTTATACATGTTTTATGTGAATTAGCATACATGTTTAGACTTCTTAAGTTTCCCATGATGTTTACAAATGTTCAATGTGAATTAAAATCTTTGTTTTACATTCTTGGCTTCACATGATGTTTTAAATGTATTATATGAGTTAGTCCATGTACTTAGGATAATATGCATGTTTATGTGATGGTTTAGGTGTGTGCATGCTTATGTGATGGCTTAGGTGTTTGTATTCTTATGGGATGGCTTAGAGTAGTTTATGTGATTAAATTTAATAAAATTCACATATTTTAATAATTTTAGACACTAAAATTACTTGAAAATTTTAAAGAAAAAAGTAACATTAGAAAAAAAGCAAAGAAACATTGACCTAAATACATTCTAAATATTAAACTTATTTTTACATATAGTAAAACATCTTGGTGGCTAAATGTTATAGTTTGTTCACTAGAGGTTGGACTCTCATGGTTGAGCATTGAAAGCCTAGCATCATAGTTCAAATTCCATAGACTGAGCACTATATGTTGAATATCATTGGTCGAGCATAAGAGGACGAGCATTAGAGGCAGTGCACTAAAGGCCAAACTTTGAAAGCTTGGTGTCCTAAGTTAAATTCATAGGTCGAGTGCTAGAGATTGAGCGCTAGGAGCTGAGTGCTGGTTAAATTTCATTTTATCTACAACATTGGGGTGATTCAATTGTTGTCCTTGTTTGGATCCTCTTATTATTTGTGCAAGATTCATGCTCACTACACCTTTTAAGAGTACTGAACCGAAATCTTTCCTTGACTCATATAAAAGGAATAAAACATGAACAAAAAGAGAGAAAAATATGTTGATCCATGGGAGAAGAATCTAGATGAGGACGAGCAAAATAGATCAAGGACCAAGTAACAGATTCCCCAATTAGAGATAAAAAAAGTTCATTGTTTATGCTCAATTTCTTCTATTTATAAAATGACATATTTAGGAGCATCATATCCTAGGCCTCTAGATGTGAATACTTTGATTTTAATAACCCCGCCTCAACCACGATTTGGGGTCTTAGAGAATTCAACTTCCAATTGAATTGTCGATGCATGAAGACTTAGGTACTTGACCTTCCGTCATACAACTCAGGGCAATTGGCTACAAACACTTGACTGCATTTAGAAATAAAATGATTTGGCTCAGGATATTGCATATCTTATATTTTAAAATATAATGAAGCTTTAAATTTTGTAATTTGATTATATTTACCGTTCTTATTAAAAGGTTGGGCTAAAAGCTACATGAAATCATTATCTTGTGGATCCATCATGGGTTGAGATTATCTAAATTATAAGTTTTTATTAAATTACTTCCCACGAAAAAGATTACCTACATGAAATTGAAATGTAAATATGAGGAGTTAGATTATATTGATAAGCATTATATGATGTTTAAAAGTATTACAATAGTTTATTAAGGAATACTCATTTTTAATCTAATCCAACTCCTCATATTAGATTGATACAAATACTTGTTGCGTACGACTGAATTACTCCACGATAAGTTTTAGTGCATTAGTATACAATCAATGATACTAGAATCACTAAGTAGTCCTCAAATATTCTAGGTCACAATATTTAGAAAAAAGATGACTAACTTAGGAAGTTAAGATGAATTTCCCATTTGCCTAACCACTGACTTTCCAACGATAAAGGCAAAACAAAGGTAGGCTTAGTAATAGCCTTGTTAAATGAGGGATTAACATCAGCATTTTTAAATAAGAGAGAAGTAAGCTGAGCTTTTTCAGAAACTTGAGGCAAATATGTCGTAATTTTCTGATCAGATTCTCCTTAATTAATCAACTGAGAAGGAGAACCAGAAGAAGATTCGACAATTAATAAGTGAGTACATGCTGATATGTTTAAATCAGGAGGCATAACATGAGAAAAAAAAGGATAATGATCTTGAGAGATATACACAATAATGGAAGGAACAAATGACATATTGTCTTTTCTTTTTGGTTTTTTTATCATAACTATTCCCACTAGAATTTTTGCCACGTGAAGGAGCTATAGTTAGAGGTTTATAGTTTAGTGATTTAATACAAGAAGAAGCAGCATGAGCAAAGGAAGAGCAAACTTTACATTCCTCAAGTTTTTATTCATAAATAGCTTCTTGAATTATCTCTCTCCTCTCAAGTTTTTATTCATAAATAGCTTCTTGAATTATATCTCTCTCCTTACCATTGATACCATTGATGATGATAGAATCAGAAAGAACTGAATCAACATTAATTTATATATTGACTTTAGCAAAAGTAAGACGAGAGTCTTTGGCTGTAAGAGGGTCCACCATAGGAGGAATAACAATTTTGCTCACAATTTTAGATATACCGTTCTCCAACTAGCAACAAAGAGAAAGGTTAGAGAATTCCACTCAAATAGGAATCTCATAGAAGTCTTCTTTAATGGGTTTAAAATCATAAGTTCATTGCTTAAAAAAAATGGTTTTCAAAATAGGGTACTCCTGAAAGACTCATTTTCTTATCACTTAATAAAAAAAAAAAAAAAAACACTCACTTAGAGAGACGAGCTCCATGTTTTTCTTTCAATCTGCATATTTTTTTAGATGGTTTGAGAAAGATTCCCATATTAAAGACGCTTTCCCAAGGCATAATCAACAAGCACAAAATCCTACTGCATTGAACAATTTTCCACTTCTTCATACGAGAACGAGACTTTCCCATCAGCACAAAAGATAAAAGATTGAAGTTCGTAGGATTAGGGGTATGAGAAGAGGTAGACCTTTCCAGTTTAGGATGGTCTGGGTCCAAAGATATAAACAATTTAAAGGATAGGAGGGTGGGGAAGAAATATGAGTGTTAATTCGGGCCCACAGGTTGAGTTCAGGCCTTACTCGAAACTAACATGACCCGAATATGTCTAACCCGCCTTCAACCTGCCAACTCAAACCTGGCTCATATAATCCATTTAACATGAGGAATAACATCAATATGAGCTAAAATCAGATCAATTTCTGCCCAATTTCGAGTTGGCTGGTAAATTTCAAATTAATTTAGAGTTAGCGAGTCAATTCAGGTTGACGAAAAAACCCAAAACTGACTAAGAAAATTAAATGCGTTAGAATATTCCTAAATATCATTTGGGTCTAACGTAATACAAATTTTTTGAATCTGGATTCAGAAGTTGAACCAGAAAGACAAATGACCATATGAACGAGAAACAAATGAGAAGACCGCAGGAGTAAGAAAATTAGACGCTTCCAAGGAGATCGAAGAGATTTCCCAAAACTCTAAGGGAGCCTTGGAGGAACCTCGCGATACTCGCTCATCTCTCAAGAAGCGTTTTTTTTCGTATGTTAATATCATTCCTGTCTCCCAAATCCCACTTATCTTAATTATGGTCAAGAAATGATTTCAACCTGAAGCAAAAAGAAGAAAAGCGGAACCATTCGTCTAGATCTTACGTCGTCCGATCGATCCCCGCGACGACACACCAGCTGCTCATCCTCATTGTGGTTGTTGTCGTCTGAAGAGAGGTAAAGAAATGGAGGGCGAGATGGTTAAAGACGAGGCTCTGCGTATCATTAGCCTCTTCGAAGTTCTCCCGAGCTTGGTCGTCTTCGATCTTGATTACACCCTTTGGCCTTTTTACTGGTATGCGGCCATCCTCTTTGTCGATTCTAATCGATCTTTGTCTCTTGTGCTTTATTTTGGCTTGGTGCAGAGCTCCTTTTTTTCTAGCTTGAGTTGTTTTCTAATAGTAATCGATATCGATCGATGTTTTCCTGCAAATATATTTCTATTCTTGTGAATTTTCTTGGCATTTGTTGTTGGTATTGTTATCACTTATTGCGCACGATTTGGTGATCTATTCACCAAATACCCAATTTTATTTTTGATTAATTCTTGCTTAATCATAATATGTTGATAAATATTTAACTGATGCCTGTTGGCCTTATTATTTATTAGGTAACTATTTTGTGTTAATTCTAATTATGCGGTGATTGCTTTGAAGACTAATAGTTAGTTTATATAATTCTTTCCATATCTCTAATAGGTTGGGTTGTAAATTGGCCCAATATGTTAACTCGAATTGAACTCGACTAAGGGTCTGTTTGGGACGGCGTTGCGGAAATGGCGTTGCACCGCAGTTTTGTCTGGGTAAATTATATTTTAATAGTTTTTTCAAAAAAACTGTCACTGAAATCTGCGTTTTCCTACCAGTCATATGTAGGTGCGGTGACAACTTTCTATCTACGGTTTGAATTTTTTTTTAAAAAAATTGTAATAGTCATCTCAGCTTTTTGAAGATCAGATTGTTCTTCAGCAGCTTCACAACTGTTTTTTAATAAGATACAACTACCTCAAACAGATCGAAAAAGAATCTGGGTTTGGGTTGACCTTAAATTTGGGTCAGTTTCAGGTTTAAGCCAATAATTTCAACTCATTTAATTTTTTTTGGTCGGCTTTATGTTGACCCGCAAGCACAAAATTGACTGTCAACCTGACGTTGATCTAAATTTGACTTGAAATTGACCCAAAATTGAACCGAATTTGATATGAATAGATATTATGCACTTATTAAATGATTTATGTTGGTCGGATTTGGGTTAGACTTTCCAACCTATTTAATCTTTGGGTTGGGTCAATTTTGGTTCAAGCTCTCGATATGAATAGATATTATGCACTTATTAAATGATTTGTGTTGGTCGGATTTGGGTTAGACTTTGGGTCAATTTTGGTTCAAGCTCTTGACTCATGAACCTGATTTGACATCCTTAGCTAGATTGCTTGAGATTACAATTCATTCTTCATAAATGGATGAAATCTAATTAACTTAATCTCAGTAAATCTTATTGTTCTTAAATTTTAAATATACTAATCTTTTTTTATTTAAATTTTCTAATCAGCAAGCAATGAGAATTGAATGGGAGTGGCAATCAAGCTCGAGCCACCTTTGTTGTGGCGGTTTTTGACATTTGCCAATAGGCTACATAGCTGGGTGAGTTTGAGTGGGTATTGTTCAATGTTAGTAAGAACCATTTTTTTTTGTGAAGCTATGAGTATTGTTTTGAGTTTATTGATTGATACTCATAGGCTTCAGGCTAATAAAAAAATTAAATAGTTGAGGATGATTTTTAAATCAAAAAGTGCTCATCATTATTTTTAATGATTGACAATATATTGAAATTGTTGGAGATGCATTTCCTATATGATCTTGGTGAGCATCTCCAAGAAGAGGATATTTCTGCCTTCTGTTGGCAGGAATTTAGAAGTCCTACTTATCTTTGAAGTTTGTTTGAATACATATAACCAAAAACAAGTTATATAAGAAGTATTCCATTGCTATAGTCGATGATAAATGTGCATCAGATATACGTTTGCACAAATTTCAACGAAATTAAACAGTCAAAAAGTATAGATCAGTACCATTAAGAGGGTCGATAGAAGGAATACCAAGGGACCACAAATGGAAGGCTAAAAATCCATCAACAAAAGAGTAAGGGTCAGCATCAGAAGGCTAAGCGCTCAGCATTGAAATACTAAAAGACCTGTCTAACTAGATGCAACCCCCCGAAGTCCGGATTAAAGGCTTACCGACCAAAGGTCAATGTCCATCAAGTCAAGTGAGAATATTGATCCGTCTCTTGTTATAATCCGACTCAAGAAAGCATTCAGTATCACTAGCTATCTCATATATGCCCTTTAGATTCCTTGCCTGGGGCCAAAGAGCTAACCATCACATTTTTTTTTGGGAGAATCTCGAAGGGAATTTTATTAATCAAAATAAAAAGCATAAGGATTGGCAGGAGGATCCCCACTACATGCATAACATAATGCACGTGAAAACAAAACTTAGGGAATCCTTCATCCAGTGATACAACTCACGCAAAGGAAAATCAAATATAACCATCTAAAGAAGAATAGAGATGAGCCACCTTAGCGCTTGAAGATCCCTGATGGAAAGATAAGCGAGCAAACCGATAACCTGCAAGCAAATAGGACAATCAAGCCCTAAAAGCACTAAAGAAAGGATAGCAACCTGTAAAAAACCAACCTGGAGAGCATCAGAAGCAAAATTAGGCAGCAGTATAACATAAAGAATAAAAGTAAACTAAATCCACAACCTAGAAAGAAGACATAAAAAGAAACACATACCCAAAACAAACCTTCGGGAGTGAAACTAGCCACCAAGAAAAAGCAAGAATGAACAAACCATTAGATATCCGGGGGCAGCATTTTGCGATAAAAAAGAAGCAAAAAACTGCCCCAAGAATACCAAATGGAGGCAAGTAAACCACACAAGGAGCTACACTAACCTGGAATCAAAATAGGTCAACCCACCAAATAAACAAGCCAACTAAGCTGCACCGAACAACCCACGGTGATTAGCAAAAGGGGAGTAGGGGTATTGTAAGAAAATTTCAACCAACTCCAGAGAAAAAGCTTTAGCCATGGCTTCATATAAGAAAACAAACCAAGCCACAGAAGAAGGACAGCACAACATGAGCCCATCCTTAGAAAAGATGAAAGAGCAACACAAGGACCGACGAAATAGTAAAAGGCTGCAGGTCCCAACTAATAATCAAAGACCAAGTTTCAATACCAAAACAATCAAAACAAAGAAAGAAGAGACAATACCAAAATTAAATATAAGCATTCGAAGAATGCTCTAGATATTAAGAGTAAACTAGAGGATAGAAATCCGAAGATAAAGAGAGTGACTACAGAAGCATCAATATCCATAGGGTAGATAAAAAAAGAAAAACATGAAATAACACACATAAACCAACATAAAAAATCCACAGTCTATACTCCAACATAATGATGCAGCCAACCAAAGGATAAACTAGACATTGTAATTAAAACAAAATTAGACAGACTGATAAAAGTTGATTTCATTATTAATGCTAAGCAAAAACTGGAAAGCGTAAAGGTCGAAGGGCGTAAGTCCAAAGAATAAAAAGCAAAAAAACACTTCTCATACCCAGGACCAAATAAACAAAATTAGATATTACCCTACCAAGATAACCAGCTTGGAAAGTATAAATTAGATATTACCCTACCAAGATAACCAGCTTGGAGAGTATACTTAAAGTTTTCTTATGTAAGGCAAGCCAGCTTTTTTGAATAATATAAGACCTTTAAGCTCTCTATGAATTTCATTGCCCTATAAAAAAAACAACATTATCTATAAGAGCACCCTTTTTTTCCAACCATTCAGTGCATGCATTACCTTCCTAGTAAATATGAGAAATTTTATAATTCACCCTTTGCAATAAGCCATGAATGTCTCGAAGGAGAAAAAAAATCAAACAATTATAATTATTCCCCACATGATAAGAAGTAACCAACTTTATAGCAAGCGAGGCATCAAGTTCAAACCAAATGTATAAAAACCACATAGAGATAATACGCTCTAGGTTGTTTCATGGCAAAAAGTTCTGCATAAATAGCAGAAATTTTGATCACCGGTCAAATGCAACAATGACATTTCCTCAATGATCTCGAAGTAAACCACCAAAACCAGAAGATGAAGTATTCAGAGAACCATCAATATTGGATTTAATCCAACTAATAGGACGCAAGCCCCATTTAACGATAGTAAACAATTGATCTCAGCTACTATCTGCCTTGAATAGCAATTTGATTCTATTGCTAATATTAGCAATTTGATTCTATTGCTAATATTGCAAATTAATTCATGATAATTCATTTTAAAATTATCATGTTTAGAGTTATTCCTGGCTATCCAAAGGAACCCAAGAATAAGAGAGAGAATCACAATATGATGTTTAGAAAAGATGCTATAATGAGACAACCAATGTTGGATTAAAACCTGTAAAGATATATGCTTGTCATAGATATTGGTTATAAAAATACTATCCATTCAGCCCCAAAGACTAGCAGCAATAGGACTTTGGACAAAGAGGTGATCCAAATCTTCTATATAATGGGAGCATTGGCATTTGGAAGCAATTTGGATAACCCTCTTTTGGACTAAAGTGTCGACAGGTAGATATCCCTTAGCTATTTTCCAGTATAATAGAGAGTTTGTAGTAAAAATAACATTATTCCAAAAGAAGGATAACAATTTAATAACGGGCCTTTTCACCCTTATCAAATCCCAAGCAGCTTTTAAAGAAAATTCTCCATTAGTAGACAAATTAAATAAAATTTTGTCAGGAAATTCTTGACAAATCTTAATTTGATTTTTTTGATTTAAAATCGGTTCAGGAACCACATCAAATAAAAGGTTAAGGTTCCAATTACCATTAGTTATAAATTTAGAGACCTTGATCGCTGCAGTAGAATGAGAGTTAATTAAGGAATCTATATCTCTAATCCTGGGCCAATTGTCTTGCCAGAAGAAAATACCCCCCAAATGATCGTCTCATAGATGAGTAAGCTATTTGTCAAATTACGGTGATTCATCCTCTACCCGATAGCCTAGTGTTGTTCTATCGATAAGAGTTCCCTATCTAAGGATCAATAGTCGACAATCCAATCAGCATAGCCGACTGACAAAGCCAAATCGATTGAGTCGAGCTTCGCCGACTCAAAGACCATCAAAGGCTGACCGGTCATCCTGATTAAGCAAAGTTGAACGAGCAGGTTCGCCGAATCAGGACTGACTAACTCCACTCAACCGA